CCCAAAGGCCACAAAAGATTCGCGGCAGAAACCACGAGGTTTTTCTGGAATCCTATCCCCAAAGAATACTCACCGGCACCGCCCCGGCACGTCCCCGGTCACGTGACCCGGGATGTCGCGAGCTCCAACTGAAAAATTCATTGGTGATAAGCTCTCAGGTCCAGCCGAAGCACACAAAATGATCAAAGCTGCAGTCAAAAAGGCCGTGCCCACCAAGTTGTCGGTAGGCACGCCCCCCAAATACACGTTGGCGTCGCTCAGAAGCTTCCCCTCCTTGGAGCCCCAAACCATGGCCCCATACCCTGCGACATTCTTGGACCATCCTCTAAGAAGAGACTTCTTGTGGAGTGCCGTCGTGTACGAGGCCGACAAGTCACGTGTGGGCGCCGGCTATGTCCCCACCAAGCAGGACAAGTGGTTTTCCAACAGAAAGTTGCACCCTCAGAAAGGCACGGGCCGTGCCAGAGTGGGTGATGCCAATTCGCCGATCCGGGACAACGGCATCAAGGCCCACGGAATCAAGGCGCCGCACGACTGGTCCACCTCTTTGCCCTTGAAAGTATACAGCCGCGGGTTCCAGACCGCGTTGAGCGACCAGTACCGAAACGGGCGTCTTTTCGTCATTGGCGGCGAAAACGAGACCGCCGACTTCCAGTTCAGCCACGTGGACCAGATGCGCCAGTTTGTGGAGCACCATGACTTGGATGGCTTGCACTTGTTGTTCATCACCAACGAGCAGAGAAGCAATCTCTTGGAGGCGTCGGCCAACATGGGCAAAAAGTGCGATGTTTTGGTCAAGGAGTCCGTGGAGGTGCGGGACTTGTTGAAGGCCAAGCGGATTTTCATTGAGCAGGAAGCGTTGAACTGGTTTGTCTCCAGATATGGGGCCCGGTAAGCCTGGGATAGCGTGTACATAGATAGCAGGCAAGATAAGAATATGCGGGCGAAGAATGTTTGGTGTAGAAGGGGATTTGGGTGTAGATGAAATAATTGATGTAGACGAGAGTAGATGAGTTGTTAATGCAGATGAGATTGTACAGACGAGATTGATTGACCCTTTTGATCATCTGATTAAGATGAGAATGCTTAATGTGAACGAGAATGTTGATATAGATGAGAATGTTACTGTAGACGAGAATGTTGATATAGATGAGAATGTTGATATAGATGAGAATGTTGATATAGATGAGAATGTTAATGTAGATGAGAATCCTCCAAGTAGATAAAATAGAATGTTAATGTAGATGAGAATCCTCTTAGTAGATGAAATAGAATGTTAATGTAG